AAGCATTTGGCTGGTTAAGCTTTCAGGTTTCTAGCAGCAGTTCATCTGAGAGCCATTCTGGATGAGGACTCAGAGGCATCCAGTCTGAGGAAACAGGACCAGCTGAGAATCCGGTGAGGTGAGGTAGCTGTGGCTTGTTCTGGTTCTCCAATCTTCCAGTATGCACCCCAAAAATAACTGGCCTCAGGTTTTATTTTATTAATAAGAACTGTTAAGATTCCTGCTACACCTCCCTTTGTCTATTGTCTGGCTGGTTACTCTGCTTTTCCTCTTCCAAGAGTTCTCTCTCTGCCCAGTTTTCCCACCTATACCTCCTTCCTAGCATTCATCTTTTTTATTACCCCAATCACAGCAAAACTTTTTCACACAGTGTATAAATATCCCACAATACACATGAGACAATATAGCTGTGGATAAAAGTAGGAATAAATCTATTTTACTGTCACTGTGGGCACCAGACAGTAATGTGAGCTGTTGCAGTGCCCATCTGCAGATAGAGCCCAGAGCATACACAGCTACCAATATTCTTTTGGACCCTGAACCTACCTCAGCCTCCATGGAGGAGGAAGTCTCCCTGCAATGATACTTAAGAAGGGTAGGTTCAGGAACTGAACAATGTTAGCCTCTTTTCTTTTTTTCCCTTAGCCAAAATTATCTTTAATTTTTATCATTTAAAAGATTTATTTTCAGGGCTGGAGAGATGGCTCAGAGGTTAAGAGCACTGACTGCTGTTCCAGAGGTCTTGAGTTCAAGTCCCAGCAACCACATGGTGGCTCACAACCATCTGTAATGAGATCTGGCACCCACTTCTGCATACACAATAAATAAATAAAAAAAAAAGATTTATTTTCATTTTACACTCCAACCACTGTTTCCCCTGCCTCGTCTCCTCCTGCTCATCCCTACCCCCATCCACTCCTTATAGAGAGAAAGACTTCCCATGGGGAGTAAAAAAAACTCTGGCATATCAAATTGAGGCAGGTCTAAGTCCCTTCCCCCTGTATCAATAGCCTCTTTTCTTGAACACAGAACCTTCTGCACTTTGGCAACTTAAGTTTTCACCTCTGCTTCTCAGCTTATAATTTTGATGACCTTCACAGTTTAGATGTAATGAATATTCATCTGCAAAACATGAGAGCAGAGAGAGGTCCTTTAACTATAACATTTACATGACCAAAACCTTCTTTTATCCAAACTACATTATAAAACAGTGTGAAGGTTAATCTTTCCTTGAACACCTGAGACCCAAGCACTCCTGAACCCAAGAGTGTGGTGAAAATGATGCTGATGTTAGACAATCAGGATGGTGCTGGGGCGCATAGATGAGATGCCAACAACATTGTTGGAATGACCATTTGTATATGAGGAGGTCTTAATTCAAATCCATCCTTCACAAACACCCGAAGGATTCTGAACAATAAAATAGGAACACCTAAGAAGAAAAAATGCTTAGAGGTTGTTGCTGTGGAAATCATGTATGTTGGAAAGAAAAGGGCATGAATCTATCAGGAATTATTTAGCATAGACTCAAATCAGATCCATGAGAATAACACATTTCCTTTTCTGTTTCCATGGATTTCTCCAGTGTGTTCATCCAGGAGATCTGAAGAATCAGGTGCTCTTGTGTCCCTTTTGTTCTGTTTGATCCCAGCAGCATCAGCCTGAATCACCCCTTGTTGTAGAACAGTGCTCTCCACACATGGCAGTACTGTTGTCCTGTGAGTCTCTGTAGCTGTGATTACACACAGGTCACCTGCACAAGATTGGCCCCATGAATATTCCTTCATGGTATAGAGGCTCCTAAGGCCACTCCTCTTCCATCAGAAATATTGGCAGTTAAAAGTTGTAGGCAAAGTTTTTTTTTCATGAATCTAAACACTGAAAGGTTTCCAATATTGATGAGCATAGTGGAGCACACAGTTCTCAACAGTCGTATGTGAGACTGTTGATGGATCTAGTCTAGACTACATAGTGAGTTCCAGGACAGCCAGAGCTACATAGTGAGACCCTGTTTCAGCAAACAAACAAACAAAAACAAAATATCCCCCAAAACCAAGATTGATGACAGGCTTTCAGGGGATCCTAATATAACTCATTGCTTCATCAGGTAGATTTGTGTGGAGTCTTGTCTTGTCATGGAGACTGTTGTCTGATGTTGGGTGTGTAGGATTTGTGCTTGTATCCCTAGGTAAAGTTAACAGAATCTCTGATTAACCTTGAAAGCTGGTGATGAGCTTTGTCTAGCTGCAGGAGTAAAGGAGAACCATGAAGAAGCTCTGAGAGAAAAAGACCAACCACCTTGGAGTCCCTCAAGTGGAGGTCCTGACTCAGGAAGTCACCAGGTTTATTTTGCATTAAGTCCTGGTCTGTGGTGACTGGGAGGATACAGGCAGTGTAGATGCTTACAGTGGAGATGTTCTGAAGGAAAAGAACACAATCAGACTTGGGCTTGTAACCTCAGCACTCAGCAAGTTGAAGGATGAAGAGGAGTCTGAGATTTGCATGAAGTTTAAGAGGTTCTGTTTCAGAAACAGAAACAAAAACTAAGAAACCAGGGAGAGATAGAAGCCACAAATTCTGGAAGCCAACCCACTACAGCACAGGAAAGAAGAGTCAGGCGCCTGGTTAGAGCAGTTCCTCTTCCTCAGTGGCTTCCTCATGATTACAAGCAGAACCCAGTCTGCACAGGCCACAAGTTTTGTGACTTTGTGTGTTTGGAAAAGAGGCCGATCTTCTGTAAACTTGTGGCAACTGGAAGATGCCATGACCCCCCTTTTTACAGGTCTACTCTATCTTGGTGAGATGTCAAATGGGGAGGGAGAATTCTCATCTGATAGGGATTCCACCTCACATCCCGAATTGGTCCATCAGGATGTCTCAGCAGCTCTATAAGGCATCTGCAAGTGGAGGTCATGCTCATGTTTTTTTTTTTTTTGTGATATATATTTTTTATTTTACAATACCATTCAGTTCTACATATCAGCCATGGGTTCCCCTATTCTCCCCCCTCCCACGCCCTCCCCTTACCCCCAGCCCACCCTCCATTCCCACCTCCTCCAGGACAAGTCCTCCCCCGAGGACTGTGATCAACTTGGTAGACTCAGTCCAGGGAGGTCCAGTCCCTTCCTCCCAGACTAAGCCAAGTGTCCCTGCATAAGTTCCTGGTTTCAAACAGCCAACTCATGGAATGCATGCTCATGTTTTAGTGCAAACTCTCACAGGTAACCAACTCTTTTGCAGGACTGAGTCTGGACCTCAGAAACCCAGTATTGGCAGCTGAGTGTCTTCTCAGCTGTTCCAGTTTGGACATCCTTGGTGGGGACCATTAGTAATTCCTGAACAGGGAAGATGAAGGGCAGTTGGTGTGGGGATAATGCTGGGGATACCTGAAATTTCCTAAGTCTGCGAAGCTGACATCTGAGAGAGAGTTCTGTGAAAGCAGCTGTCAATTTTCTTTCAGGGGCCCTCTCTAAAACTCCACTCCGGGCAGTGCCAAGAAATGTGGTAGCCATTGGGAACCAGGTGACATTCTTCTGTGAAGGACCTTTAGAGGCCAAGGAATATGTTCTCTAAAAAGAAGGAAGTCCAGAATACCCAATACCAACAACCCTTTTAGAAACCGAAAACAAAGTCACATTCTCCATCTCATCGGTTGAATGGTACAACGCAGGCCGATATTGTTGTGAATATAAAAGCAATAATGGTATGTCAGAGAGAAGTGACTTCCTGGAGCTGGTGGTTGCAGGTGAGATGTCTTTACCATTTCCACATTCTGCCTTAAGGAAAGGAATCTGATCACTGAGAGTTCCTCTCTCAAATTTGAGAAAGGAGAAAAATGCTTTTCATTTAAGCACACATGACAGGCTTTCTCTTCTCTCCTAGGATATTACTCAAGTAAAGTCAACTTGTCTGCCATTACCAGCTCTGTGGTAACCTCAGGAGGGTACGTGACCCTTCAGTGTGTCTCAGACCAGAAATATAACATGTTTATTCTAATGAAGGAAGATGAGAAGTTCTCCAGGCCTTTGCCCTCACAGAAGATACACCCTGAGTTTTTTGGAGCCCTGTTCACTGTGGGTACTGTGATCCTCAACCAGAGGTGGAGGTTCACATGTTATAGGTATGATTTGAGCATCCCTCAGGAATGGTCAGTACCCAGTAACCCCCTAGAACTCCTGGTCTCAGGTAAGGAAGTGCAGAACTTTACTTTGAATGATACTATAACTGACACAGGATCCCAGGAAAGGACTGATGTATGGTGGTTGATCAAAAGCCTGGGTTACTGAAATCAGTGTCACAGATCTGTGGTACAGCTTGAATTGAGGAGCAAAATCTAGGGTTTATTTAACAGTGGGACACATGATCCAATGAAAAGTGAGGTCTTTAAGCATTCTTCTGCAATTGCAGATCAGCTTACATGTCACTGGCAAATGTGACCTTCTCTGTGCAATTCTCCTAACAGATACATCTCCCCTTTCCCTCTCATTCTTTGCTGGGACCCTTCATAAACCCACCATCTGGGCTTATCCTAGCTCTGTGATCTCCATAGGGAGTCCTGTTACCCTATGGTGTGTGGTGACTCTAGAAAACCTAATGTATATTATATATATAAGAGGGAAGCCCAGAGCACTGGGACCAACAAATCCAAAGAGTCCACAAGAATAAGGCAAAACTCACCATTCCATCTATGACTGAACTGATGCAGGGCACCATCACTGTTATTCTTATACCTCTGAGGGATGGTCAGTGCTCAGTGACAACTTAGAGCTGGTGGTGACAGGTGAGATGACACTCAAAAATATTAGCCCCAGATGTTATTCTCAAGAAAAAACAGTAATAATGCTATCTGTCATCAAATGACAGACATTGGGAGAATTCTTATGGTATGAGCCCCTTTAATATTCCATGTGTACTTCTAGGAATCTAATACAAACCAACTTTGTCAACCCTGCATAAGCCTGTTATTTCTTTAGGAGGGTCTGTGACACTGCCTTGTACCTTAACTCAGAGATACAACTGTTTCATTTTAACTAAGGATGACCAGAAATTCAGCAGCTCACAATATTCATATATTAGGACTTTCCAGTCCACATTCCAAGTGGGTCCAGTGACTTCCAACCAAAGGTGGAGATTTAGATGCCATGTCTATAACACAAGAAATGCTCAGGTGTGGTCTAAAGCCAGTGAACCCCTGGAGCTCCTGGTCTCAGGTGAGGAAGCCTCCAGACTCTCTGCAGAAACATTGCTCCTCACACATGGTCCTGGTAGAAACCATGATGTGTGATGTGTCTGAGGATCCAGGGCTCCTGAGAAAATTGACACTGCATGCAGACTGTGGGAGTCATGGCAACAGATATCAACAGAGACTTTGGCTGCCGTAGGACCACAGACCCAGACATGGTCCTCAGCAACAGCCCTGGCCCAGGTGACACTATGGCCTCATTAGCAGCAATTTCGTTTGACACCAACATGGCCATAGGATGGGCATCTGTGTGCCTTTGGTGGCACCATGTGCCATGGACATCACAGACCTCAACTGTGATAGACCCAGACATAGTTCTTGTCAGCAGCCGAGGCTCAGATGCCACCATGGTCCTAGGTGGTAGCACAGGCTACTGAGATCAACAAGGCCCCTGTGGAAGTGTGTCCCTCAGACACCAATATGGCCCCATGTGGCAGCCCAGACCCCTAACATCGGTATTGCCTTGAATGGTATCAGGAGCCATGGAAATCAACACAGACCCTGGATGTGGTAAGGCTACAGACCCAGACATGGTTCTCATCAGCAGCCCTGATGCAGATGACACCATAGCCCCTGTGGCAGCATGGCCTTGAACACCAAAATGGCCACAAGAGGTCGCCTAGTCCCTGGGCATTTGTGTGGTTTTTGCTGGTGCTATGGGTCATGGACAACACAGACCCCAACTGTGATAGGACCACAGACATAGACATGGTTCCAGATTTGAATATCATCCTGGCCTGAGTGGCAACACAGGGTATCCAGATCAGCATAGCCCTCGTAGAAGCATCTGCCCATTCTTCCCAGCTCTCACTTCTTCAGAACTGCCTCTCACCACAGCACATGAACCTCTCCTCCTCTCTTCCTCTCACATTTTACCACCATATACTTGCTGATCATCATAGTGTCACCATGAGGACCCAGGGTGATCTATGGGGTTCTTTGGCCCTCCTGATCCACTTGGTCCTGGGAGAGCATTAGGTTCCAAGGCTTCCCTATACATGCCTTTCACCTACCTGAGCTGCTTGACATCAGACAGCCTATGGATGCTTCAGGCAGGCTGGACTCTGAGGACCTGGACTGCCAAGTGGTTGTCAGTAGCCCACCTGAGCAGCATGGCATCTCTGTGGATGCTTTAGGCAGGCTGGGCTTGGGGACCCAAGTTGCCCAATGGTTGCTACTCCTCACCCATCAAAACTATAGACATCTAAACGTTATAGTGTAAAGCTTTTTTCGAGGGATATAACCACTGATAGATTTTTCATTATTGCTTGTCATAGAGGAACACACTGTTCTCAATAATTGGGATGTGGGAATCATTGGTTGATCTCTTCTGGCGTACATAGTGAGTTTCAGGACATCCAGAGGTATATAGTGAGATCCTGTATGAAATAGACATAAACCAAACCAACAAAAAAAAAACACAAAGCAAAGTAAAACTACAAAACCAAAAAGATTGAACATATGATTAGTAGGAACCCTAATATATCTCATTGGTTCACCAGCTAGAACCAGCTGTCAATATTCTTGTCATTATCCTCTATAAATCTGCTCTTAGGGGGGACACTCAAACTCCAAAAGATATTGCTAACAGGGCCATTTTCTCCATAGCATCCATAGAAAAACATCATGCAGGGAAATATCACTATTACTCTTACAAATCTGCTGGATGGCCAGAGCACAGTGACACACTGGAGCTGCTGATGACAGGTGAGAGGACACTAAGTGTCACAACCTTTGCCACTTTCCTCACGAAATATTCTTCCATAAGTAAACTGACAGAGTCCAACTGCTGGATATAGTTTCAGCTTTATTTTCTTTAACAGGCTGCCTGCTTCTCTTCTAGGTGTCTAGCTTTGCAAACCTACTGTCAGCCTTTCCCAGCCCTGTGTTTATATCTTGTGGGAATTTGATTCTCCAATGTGTCTCATCTAAACTCTACAGTGTGTTTATTTTGAATGCACATCCAAAGTTCTCCAGGTCCCAAAAGGTGCAGATCATACACAGTGAACAGTCCCAGGCTCGGTTTCCTGACATCCGTAAGGCATCCAGCAAGAGTTGTCCCTGCAAATGTTGTGGATGGTGTGTGGACAAGGAGGGAGTGTGGACAGAATGGCTGGAATAAGCTCTCTTATGCTAAGGCTCTGTGTATGAAATGCCATGGAGCTGTCAGAAAAGGATTGTATATGAAATGTATTGCAAGAGCCATCTGGATGACTTCCTGTCTTTCCTCCTGCTAGGAATCTAAAGAAAACCCTCCCTGATGACTCTACAAAGGCTCTGTCCTGGCCCTTGAAGAATACCTAACCCTCCAGTGTTTCTTTGAGATGAGTTATAACAGATTTGCTCTTTTTACAGAGGGAGAAAATGATGGGCCTCAGGTCTCTGTCCATCAGCCTCATGCTGAATATTTCCTGACAACTTCATCTTAGGCTCTGTGAATTTCTCCACTGGTGGTTAGCATAGATGCCTTGGTGCACATAACTTATCCTCTGTGTGGTCAGCCCCTAATGACATTCTAGACATCCTGATCTCAGGTGAGGAATGTAGTCACTTAGTATGGACCAGTTCTGACACAATTTCAGCTGGGAGGAGACCTGGGATTCATCATCAAAATGATGATGAGCCTCTCAGGGATAACAGGTGTAGAATGGACAAGGGGCTGTCTATTAAAATTTAGAGACTAGGTTCTGAAACAGGGCCTCAGAAAATAACTGTAGTCCTTCACTCTCATTAGTCTTCTCTGTAGGACATCCCACTCATACCCAATCTCCCAGTGCATCCTGGAACTTCTTTGTCCTAAGGAGAGAATGTGACCCTGCTGTGTCAATCATTAGTCCCAGCGAACACTTTCTTTCTGTTCCAGGACAGTGCAGCCCATCCACACATGCATCAAAGATCAGTGTCTCAAGTTCCACTATATGACGCAGAATCCTCCATGATTGCTGTGACCTTAGCCCTTTGGAGTTCTTGCATATGCTTTAGCTCTCAAAGTTCATCTCCTTACCTGTTTTCATACTCCAGTGTCCCCATCCAGATCATAATCTCAGGTGAGGTGATCCAGACCTTTGCGAGCTCAGAAGGTAACCCGCGAAATTGGCCTGGGAAGCTTATGCTGGGAAAAGAGTATAAATTCTGCTTAGGGCATCAGAACAGAAGGTCATGTTCTATACACAGGAGGGCATGGTTCCGAGTGGAAATCCAGTTATCTTATGCTGGCTTCGGTTGTTCCTGACGAGCTCATCAATAATCTCCAGGCTCACAGACCCAGGATCACACAACGGAGAACCTCATCTAGATCAGCATGCCTGGCTCAATTCCCAAAGTCTTGGGATTTTGCTGTTTGCGGCTTGGCACAGCCAGAGAAGGACCCTGAATTCATCCTAGTAGTGAAGAGAAGGGACTATAATATACCTTGTCTGTTGCCTATGTCTTGGAAATAAACTTGAGGATCTTAGGTGTTTTTTTTTTTACAAGAAAGTTCACTGCTTAATTTTTTAAATCACTTGTGATCAAAGATCTAGCATGCTAATGTGTTTTAGGTGCAGGAAATATCTCAAGTGTTGGGATGAAGAATTCTTCTACCACTACACTCCAAAACTTACCCTCTACTTTTTGTGGACTTTTGAATTATTGTGATTCATTTATTCTAAGCCCATGATATGATGGAGCATCTAGTCCTACCAGCGAGATTTAGGTCCTACTTCTGCTTTTCCTCAGTCTCATGTGATATTTTCCTTTACTATATGTCATCACAGACCACATTGTGCATCATGATCCTCTGTGTCCTGGAGAGATCTTTAACATCATACCTAAATTAAAAAAAAAATATGCATGTGACTACCACCCTCGTACATTCCTGCTTTATCTCCCTTAGACCATGACGAATTCCTAGTGGAATATATTAGTACACAATTCAATGTCCACAATGCAGTCTTTCCTTTCCATTCCTGGGCATTTCCTTTCAGGTACTCTAGCATTCTGTGACACAGCAAACAACATCCAAATCAGAGGATGAACAGATCTGGTTGCTTAGTACTGCATTTACATCTCCCCAAATTACCAGCTAAGCAAACCACATTTCTTTATAATGATACAGTGTCAAATGTCAAGCTCTAGAAACTGAAAGTGAAGCTGATACATATGGAAGGGAAAAGCAAAGCTTGAGTTTGGTATTTTCTTGGTCAATAAGTACAACTAGTGATGGAGATAATACCTGGAAGTATCTGTAAGAGCTACATTCTATGCTGCTCCCAGGGAAGGGTTCATTCTGACTTTCAAACTGAAACTGATACCTACATATGAGATAACATGCCTGTGGATAAAGCCTGAGTTAATCTATTTTGCTGTCAATGTGCACAACAGATGGTGGGATCAGTTTTCCCAGTACCCATCTGCAGATAGGGTGTAGCTATTAATCTTTTGGAGCCCTGACCCTACCCCACCAACCATGGAGGAGGAAGTTTCCCTGCAGTGATCCTTCACAAGTGTAGGTCAAAGGATGCACAATGTTCCTCCTTCCTGGAACACAGAACCTTCTGCATTTTGGGAACTTTGTTTTCACTTCTGCTTTTCAGCTCATAAGTGTAGTTTGGTGACATTTACATTTTAGATCTAATGTATGAACCTTTTGCAAAACAGGAGAGCAGTCTTGGCCCCTTTAGCCATAACATGTACATAACCAAAATCACTTTGTTTCCAAGTATATAGTAAAACACTCTGAAAGTTACCCAATCCTTACTCCTCCATGTCACAAGCCATCCTGAAGCCATAAATGTGGTGAAGAAAATGACACTGATATCAGACCGTCAGCATGGAGATATAGCTCATAATTGAGATGCAAGCAACATTTAAGTTGGAATGGACATTTGTTTATAAACAGGCATTAAATCAAAATCAGCCTTCACAAAATCCAGAAGGATTCTGAACAATGCACTAGGAATACCAAAGTGGTATGAATGCTGTGATGATGTACCTATAAAATTCATGTATGTCCATAAGAAAAGCCAATGAATCTATAGGAGATTTTTTTAAGCAGGATAGTATCAAATACAGAACCATGAGAATACCATGTTTCCTTCTTCATTTCCCTGTGTTTCCCCTGATTTTGTGTGTCAACTTGATACAAGTTAGAGTCATCAGAGGAAGGAACCTCAGTTGAGGGAATGCCTTCATGAAATCCAACTGTAAGTCATTTTCTCAATCATTGATCAAGGGAAAAGACCCAGGCCATGGTAGGTTGTGCCTTCACTGGGCTGCTGATCCTGGGGTCAATAACAATGTGGGATCAGCAAGCCATGGGTAGCAAGTCAGAAAGCAGCAGCCTCCATGGCCTCTGCATCAGCTCCTGCCTTCAGGAGCCTGTTCTGTTTAAGTACCTATCCCAACTTCTTTCAGTAATGAACAGCAATTCTGAAGAGTAAACCAAATAAACCCTTTCCTTGCCAACTTGTCTTGTGGTCATGGTGTTTTGTCACAGCAATAAAAACAATAAATTAGACCAAATAAAACCAGTGTAGTGGGGTATTGTTGTGATAGATCTGACCATGTTTTTGAGAGGATTGTGGAAGGACATTGGAACTTTGGACTAGAAGAGCTATTGAGTGTTGAGAGACCTCAGTGGGATTTACTGTGGGATCTTGGAAGATAAGAATATTGAGAGAAGTTCATAGATGCAGGCCTGACTGGCTTGTAAAATATCAGAGGGAAGTTTAAAAAAATTTGAGGGCCATTTTCTATTTTGGAATTAAGAACATGTGGTTCTGTTTAGCTGAAGCTGAAAAATCTACTATGATCAACAAGATACCAGGACTATGAAAGCAATCCTGTGGTTGGGGTTATCTAGAGCTGAAGAATCAGTGGTGATTAACCAGATACCAGAATTACTGAAGTAAATCCTTTATGGTACTGGGAAAATAGAAACTGGTCACCTGGATGTAAGATACTAGCAGAAATTAAGAAGAGACCAGCATCACTGAGGTGGAATCTGCCTGGAAGTATTTCTTGAGATCACAGAGAAACTGTGTTCTACAGGCAGCCTTGGTTGCCTAGAAAATGATCTGTGTGTACTGCGAAGGTCAGAGCTAGAGGAGTGACCCCAGCGCTTTTGAGATTGTAGAACAATGTGAATGGATCCCAGATATTGGAGGGTTCCAATTTTCATTTTGCCTTGATTTTATCCAGACTTTGTCCTGATTCCTCCCTATTGAAGTTATTTTACTGGAGCCCATACTTGAGAGACTTTTAATTTAAAAAGACTTTGGATTTAAAGAGATCGTTTTTTTTTTTTTTTAAAGGAACAAAATTTTAAGTATTGAATTTGTAACGATTGTGAGACTTTTAAATTTATTTAAGATGTTGTTGATGAATAAGAAAGGATAGGATGTGCCTTAATAGTGATGTGTTTGTGTGTCTATTTACAAGTCAGGTATATAGCTGGGTTTCTTGTGTGAACTTGACACATGTTAGAGTCATCAGATGAATGAGCCTCAACTGAGGAAATGCCTCGATGAGATTCAGCTGCAAGTCATTTTCTCAATTAGTGAACAATGGGGGAAGGACACCATGGTGGGTTGTGACATTCCAGGGTGCCGGTCCTGGGTTCAATTAGAAGCTGGGCTGAGCATGCCAGAGAAATTAAGCAAGTAAGCAGTTCCCCTTCAAGGCTTCTGCATCAGCTCCTACCTCCAGGATCTTGCCCTGTTTGAGTTCCTGTCCTGACTTTCTTTAGTGATGAACAGCATTGCTGAAGTGTAAGCCAAATATACAATATCCTCCCCAGTATGCCTCTTGGTCATAGTATTTCATCACAACAATAGAAAACCTTGTAGTTTCCTCTGTGTTCATCTAGATGAACTGATACATCAGGTGGTCAGTGTGTCCCTTCTGTTATATCCTCCCTGGAGCATCAACTTGCATCTTCCATTGTTGTGAGTCACTGCTTCCCAGGCATGACATGACTGTTGGCCTGTTGAAGTCTCTGTAGCTCCTATTACACACAGGAGTATTCTTTCACAGTATAGAGGGTCCTGAGGCTACTCCTCTCTGCTCAGATTTAGAGGCAGTTTAAAGTTTCAGGCAAAGTTTTTTTCAGAAATATAACCACTGGAAAGTTTCAAATATTTCTTAGCATAGAGGAGCACATTGGGATCAACAGTTTGGAGTTGAAACTGATTGATGGATGTTGTCTGATCTACACATTGAGTTTTGGGGCTGTCAGAAACACATTGTAAGATCCTTTCTCAACACACACACACACACACACACACACACACACACACACACACACACACACACACACACAGAAACAAAACACAAAGCAAATACATTTGACCATATGCTTCTAAGGAACCTTAATATACCTCCTCAATTCACCAGTTACAGTTGTGTGGAGTCTTGCCTATTTCTGTCACTGTGGAGTCTTGCCTATTTCTGTCACTGTTGGGATGAGTAGGAATTGTTCATGTTTCCCCAGGAAAAATTCACACAACATTCAAAAAGGATCTCGAGGGCTGGATAGGAAACCATCCATGAGTTTGGTCTGGCTGATGGTAATGGTCATGGAAATGGTCATGATGGTCAAGGAGAACCAAGATGAACCTCCAAGAGAAAAAGACCAACCAGCTCTGAGCACCCTCAACAGAATGTCACCATGTTCATTTTATGTTGTGTCTTGGTCTGAGGTCACTGGGAGCATTCAGGCAGAAGTGGATGTTTACATGAACATGTTCTGAAAGAAAAAAAAACACAATCAGATTTGGGTTTGTAATCCCAGTCCACATGAGGTGGAGGGAGAAGGGGAAGAAGACTGAAAACTACATGAGATTCAAGAGATTCTGTCCCAGAAACCAACACAAAAACTAAACGACCAGAAAAAGGGAGAAGCCACATATTCTGTAGCACAACCCACCACAACACTGGAGAAAGAAGCATCACATGTCTGGGAAGAGCAGTTCCTCTTCCTCAACGGCTGCTTCTATTACATCTTCATGACACCAATGAGAAGAAGACAGCCTTCATAGCTCATACACTTTGTTTCTTTCCATTTGGCAAAGGGACCAACTATCTTCAAACTTGTGGTAATTGGAAGATACCATGAAAACTTTTCTCACATCCCTGCTGTGTGTTGGTGAGATGCCAAGATGGGGAGGGAGAATTCTTGTCTGAGAGGGAATATCCCCCACAGCCATGCCTTGTGCCATCAAGAAGTCTCAGCAGCTTAGATGCCTGGAAGTAGAGGGCTTTCTGATATTTCAGTGCAAACACAGGTATCTCTTTTGCAGCACTGAGTCATCAGGGCCTCTGGATCTTGGCATTGGCAGGTGAGTGTCTTCACAGCTGTTCCAGACTGAACATCTTTTGTGGGGACCACAGTTAACTCCTGAACAGAGCAGATGGAGAACAGCAGGTGTGGGCTGATCCTGGGGATGCCTGAGAATGTCCTACATCTGAGAGCTCATATCTGAGAGGGAGTTCTGGGGAACTAACTGTCTTTTTTCTTGCAGGGATCCTTTCTAAACCTACACTCAGAGTAGTTCCAAGGAATGTGATAACCACTGGAAACCAAGTGACATTCTTCTGTCAAGGGCCCTTAAAGTCCAAGGAATATCGTCTCTGCAAAACAGGAAGTCCTGATTGCTTGATACCAACAACCCTAATAGAAACCGAGAACTTGGCCAAATTCTCTATCACATCAATTGAATGGAATAATGCGGGCCAATATATGTGTGAATTTAAGAGCCCCAATGGCAAAAGAGAACACAGTGACTACCTGGATCTGGTAGTGACAGGTAAGAGGACCCCTCTACAACCCCAGCATCTGCCTTGAGGAAAGGAGTATGTTCACAGTAGGGTCCCCTTTTAAATATGTGAAGAGGAGAAAATGCTTCTCATATTGGTCATATGGGGATATGAGGATACGGCAAACATTACTGAAATTAATCAATAGAGGCCTTTGTGTGTGGTCAGATAGTTGTCAGGAAGTGGATTTTGGAACTGTTGTTATGATGAGTTCAACTGAAGGTCTGTTTATACACACTACTATTCATGTATGTTTCTTGCCCTCTTCTCTCTTAGGAGTTCACCAGAGCAGTGTGACCCTGTCAGCCCTTCCCCGCCCAGTGGTGACTACAGGAGGAAATGTGACCCTGCAATGTGTGTCACAACATCCATATAACATGTTCATTCTGATGAAGGAGGATGAGAAGTTCTCCCTGGCTTTGCCCTCACAGAATATACACCCTGAGCTATTTGGAGTCCTCTTCACAGTGGGTCCTGTGACCCCTAACCAGAGGTGGAGGTTCACATGCTATGGGTATAACTTGAGCATCCCCCAGGCATGGTCAGTGCCCAGTAACCATCTAGAGCTCCTGGTCTCAGGTGAGGAAGCCCTAGACTTTCCTTTGACTGTAATGGCAACTGACACAGGATCCCAGGAAAGGACCTGGTATGTGGTGGGTGAATGAGAGCTAAGACTCCTGAATCCAATATCATAAAATGTGTGATAAAGCTAGACTTGAGGTGTGGAAACCAGGATTGATAATAACAGTAGAACCTAGGATCCAGAGAAAAATGTGATCTTACATGCCCTTTTGCTATTGCAGATCAGAATACATGTCCCTGAAATGGTGACCTTCTCTTTGGTATTTTCCTAATACATACACCTCCTTTTTCCACTTTTCTGCAGGGACCCTTCACAAACCCACCATCTGGGCTCATCCTGGCTCTGTGATCCCCTCAGGGAGTCCTGTTACCATCAGCTGTCAGGCGACCTGAGAAACCCTCATTGATGTGATATATAAAGAGGGAAACCCGGGACCCTGGGTCCAACAGACTCAAACAGACAACAGCACTGAGGCAAAACTCATCATTCCATCTGCGACACAAGTGCAGGCAGGCCGATATCACTGTTACACCTACACCTCTGTGGGATGGTCACAGCGCAGTGACCCCTTAGAGCTGGTGGTGACAGGTGAGAAGACACCAGAAATCTTAACCCCAGATGTCACTCTCAAGAAAAGACTGCACTAACACTACCTCCCATCAAAGGACAGCCATGGGAGACAATTCAGGCTTTGTGATCCTCTTTAATTTTCCATGTGTATTTCTTCTAGGAGTCTACAACAAACCCACCCTGTCAGCCACGCAAAATCCTGTTGTAAATGTAAGAGGGTTTGTGACCCTCTCTTGTATCTCAAGCCAGAGATACGACTGGTTCATTTTAATTAAGAATGATCAGAAGTTTTCCATCCGTCAGAGCTCAAGACATACACTCACTGGGATGTTCCTGGCTGAGTTTCCAGTGGGTCCAGTGACCTCTAGCCAGAGGTGGACGTTCAGATGCTATGGCTATTAAACAAATAACTCTCAGGTGTGGTCAGAAGGGAGTGAGGTCCTGGAGCTGCTGGTCTCAGGTGAGGAAGCCTCAGACTCTCTGTGGAATCACATTGCACCTGACACAGGTTCCCCATCGAGACCATAATGTGTTATATGTCTGAGCATCCAGGGCTCCTGAGAAAATTGACACAGCATGCAGACTGTTGGATATGATAAAATAAAAGGGAGATTATTGAATCTACTTTTAAAAAGGAACTACTTGTTTTAATTCTTTATATATTTATTTTGGTTTTTAGAGACAGGGTTTCTCTACGTAGCTTTGTGCTTTTTCCTGGAACTCACTTGGTAGGTAGTCCAGGATGGCCTCAAACTCATAGAGATCCACCTGGCTCTGCCTCCCGAGTGTTGGGATTAAAGGCATGTGCCAACACCGCCCAGTGTACTACTTGTTTTAAACAGTATAAGTAATGAGGTTTTTTTGTCTGAATTTGTCAAATGTTAATGGACTGGACATTGTTATCTATTAATAGAGTTTTTTGTCTCAATCTATCAAATGTTAATGGACTAGACATTGTGAATGTAATTCTTGACTGTTTATATTGTATATACTTATTGGATATAGTTTTTCTTCTATTAGTTATAAGCTTTTTTAAATTTTAGATAAAAAGGGGAAATGTGGTGATATTGTGTTCCCCCAAATCTTGTGCACCCTAATAAACTTATCTGGGGTCAGAGAACAGAACAGTCACTAGATATAGAGGCCAGAAGATTGTAGCACACAACCTTTAGTCTTAGCATTCCAGAGGAAGATATCTGCCTGGATCTCTGTGAGTTCAACGCCACACTGGAAACAGCCAGGCATGGTAACAAGAGCCTTTAATCCCAGGAAGTGATGGCAGGAAGTCAAAAGGTATTTAACACATGAGGACAAGGAACTAGAACATGGTTAAGCTTTTAGGCTTTTGAGCAGCAGTTCAGCTGAGCTTCATTCTGCATGAGGACTTGGAGGCTTCCAGTCTGAGAAAACAGAATCAGTTGAGGAATTGGCAAGGTGAGGTGGCAGTGGCTTCTTCTGTTTCTCTGATCTTCTAGCATTCTCCCCAATAACTGGCACCAAGTTTGTTTTTATTAATAAGGCCTTTTAAGATTTGTGCTACAGACTGTGGGAGTGTACAGAAAGTGAGGGGAGAGCATAGTGAGATGAGATCTTGGGAGGCTCATGAGACTGAGTCTTCCCACGACATTACTGGTCCTTTTGCTATTTAGGAGAACATTTCAAGATCAGTAGCATGTTTGACTCTTACTGTGAAACTGCTCAAAGTCCCACCTTTTTCCCACCTACTTTCTTATAGGAAACCTAGAGAAACCCACCCTCTGGGCTGAGCCAGGCTCTGTCATCAGCACAGGGAATCCTGTGACCATCTGGTGTGAGGGGACCAAGGAAACCCAAATATATTTCCTGTATAAAGAAGGAAGTCCAGCACCGTGGTTCCATCAAACTCCAAAAGGTCCTGGTAAAAAGGTCATGTTCTCCATAGCATCCATGGAAAAGCATCATGCAGGGCAATATCGCTGTTACTCTTACAAATCTACAGGGTGGACCGAGCGCAGTGACTCCCTGGAGCTGGTGGTGACAGGTGAGAGGACAATAAGTGTCACGATCTTTGCCTCTGTCCACAGGAAATAGTCTTCCATAGGTGTGCTTCCACAGCCCATCTGCTGGAGGTGGCTGCGTTTCACTTGACAGATTGCCTGTTCCTCTCCTAGGTGTTTATCATGGCAAACCTACTCTGTCAGCTTTTCCCAGCCCTGTGGTGACCTCGGGTGGGAATGTGACCCTTCAGTGTGTCTCATCCAAAAGATATGATGGGTTCATTTTGACTGGTGCAGATCTGAAGTTCTCCAGGTCCCAAAAGGCACAGTTATTACACACTGGACAGTCCCAGGCTCTGTTTCCTCTGATCCTTGTGACATCCAGCACACATGGGCACTTCCGATGTTATGGAAACTATACAAATACCACAAATGTGTGGTCAGAGGCCAGTAACCTTCTGGAGATACACGTCTCAGGTGAGAAAGTCTCCCCGTTCCCGCAACCAAGTGACAGTGGAAAGTCTTTGTTATTAGTGCAGCTGCCTCAAGGTGGGATTAAGGCCATGATGGCTGAAGGGAACTCTTGATTCCTAAGACCCAGAGTAGAAAAGGCCATGGCACTTTCAAAGTAAGATGGGATATTGAATGTAACAAGATTCAGGTGGATGACTTCCTGACTCTCTTCCTTACAGGGCTGTCAAGGAAGCCCACTTTGCTGACCCCAAAAGTCCCTGTCCTGGCCCCTGGAGAGAACCTGACACTCAAGTGTTCCTCTGAGATAAGTTGTGACAGATTTGCTCTGTTCAAAGAGGGAGGAAGTGACCTCACTCAAGTTTATGTTCATCAGCCCCAGGCTGGACATTTTCAAGCCACCTTCATGTTAGCCTCAGTGAATTTCTCCATTGGTGGTCGATACAGATGCCTTGGTGCACAGAGCTTCTCCTCTGAGTGGTCAGCCCCCAGTGACCCTCTAGACATCATGATCACAGGTGAACAATGTAGTGCATTTAGTATGGACCCATCTTGGCACAGCCTTAGCTGGGTGTAGACCTGGTATTCATCAAGATGATGGTGAGCATGTCAGGGATGAATAGGTCTAGGAACAAGAGAGTAGAGAAAGGACTGTCTTTTAGAATATATAGACTAGATTTTGAAAGAGGGGGGTTGCTTAAAGCAATGACTTTAGTCCTTCAGTCACTTAATTATTTTTTTGTCTTTAGGATACCTCCCTGTCACACCCAATATCTCAGTGCATCCAGGCACTACTGTGTCCTCAGGAGAGAATGTGACCCTGATGTGTCAATCATCAGACCCAGTGGACACATTCTTTCTGTTCAAGGAAAATGCAGTCCATCCCTACATGCAACAAAGAGCAAAGTCTCAAGATCTACAATATGAGATAGAATTCTCCATGAGTGCTATGACCTCAGCCGTTGGGGGTTCTTACATATGCTTTTGTTCTAACAGTTCATCCCCTTACCTGTTGTCACATGCCAGTGTTCCTGTGGAGATCATAGTCTCAGGTGAGGTGATCCTGACTTTTGTTAGCTCAGAGGGTTACAAAGGATAATTGACCTCGGCAGAAACTTGTGGCTGGGATAGGAGTGTGTTTATCCAAGGGAGGATTATGAAAAGAGGATCTCCTATGCAGAGATTTAGAAGTGTGAACTGAGATTTCTCAATGACCATCTCACTCTCTTCATGGGAACCTAGGAGATTCCAGGTAGGAAGCTGGGAGGTTCTGAAGATGCTGCAGTGTAGACATAAAACTGAGAAAATGTGAGATAGTTAGTGCAGGTATATTTCTTGTGTGCAGCAGAATGATGGATCCTGTTTTTCTACCCATTCTGTTAGCGTATGACTTTTTATAGGCAAACTGAGTCCACTGATATTAAGAGATATTAATGACCTTGATTGTTAATTCCTGTTATTTTTGGTTTTGTTGGTGGTGCCAGCAGTGTGTTTGTGTTTCCCTTCTTTGGGATTTGCTTGTCTGAGGCTATATATGGCCTGTGTTTTTGTGGGTGCAGCTAACTTTCTTGGTTTGGAGTTTTCCTTCTTGTACTTCCAATAGGGCTGGATTTGTGGATACGTATTGTTTAAATCTGGTTTGGTCATGAAATATCTTGTTTTCTCAGTCAATATTAATTGAAAGATTTGCTGGGTATAGTAGTCTGAGCTGGCATCCATGGTCCCTTAGTGTCTGTGAAACATCTGTGCAGGACCTTCTGGCTTCCCTAGTTTCCATTGAGAAAACATGTGTAATTCTGATAGGTCTGTGTTTATATGTTATGTGGGCTTTTTCCTTTGTAGCTTTTAAAATTCTTTCTTTATTCTATATGTTTTGTGTTTTGATTATTATGTGGTGAGGGGGCTTTTTTTATTATAATCTATTTGGTGTTCTGTAACTCACTTGTACCTTCATAGGCATTTCCTTCTTTAGGTTGGGAAATATTTCTTCTATGATTTTGTTGAATATAATATTTGTGCCTTTAAGCTGGAATTCTTCTTCCATCCCGTTAATTCTTAGGTTTGATCTTCCCTAGATGTCACAGATTTCCTGGATGATTTTTGTTAAGAATTTATGTGATTTAATGTTTTGTTTGCCTGATGAATGTATTTCTTCTATTGTGTCTTCAACATGGATTCTTCCTTCCATCTCTTTTATTCTGTTGGTTTGCTTACATCTGTAGTTTTTGTTCATTTACCCAGATTTTCACTTCCTGAATTCCCTTAGTTTGTGTTTTCTTTATTGCTTTTATCTCAATTTTCAAGTCTTGAACTGTTTTCTACACATGTATGATTATTATGTTTTTGGCTATCCTTAATGAATTTATTCATTGTTTGCCAGTTTTTTTTGTCTTTTTTCTCCATTTCTTTAAGGAAGTTTCTATTTCCTATTTAAGTGCCTGTATCGTATTCCTAATGTTATTTTTAAGGTCATTTTCTTTTGCTTCATCTGCATTGTGTTGCTCAACTCTTACTGTTGTAGAATCACTGGGTGCTGCTGATTACTTGGTTGTGTAAATGTCATCTGTTTCTGCTACTCATCTCCCTTATTTTCCTGGGGAGAAGGAGAGAGAGGCACAGCGAGGGCCACCTCCCTCCCTCCCTAGCTCTCTTGCTATCAGGACTGCAGGCAGCTGGCTGCTCTCACGAGGGTGGGGGTGCATGCTCTCGGTACAGGCGGGCTAAGATTCTCATGTCCTGCTCTGGACAGGACAATGGCT